CGGGCCTGGCCGCGTGGGGGGGAGAGCCTGCAGCTGTGCCCCACGGTGGCCACGCCGTGGGCGCCTGCCCAGGAGCCAGCTGGGGTCTGCGTGGGCAGCTGCAGACTACTTACAGGAAAACAAGCCTTAAGTAATGCCTGGGCAGCGCAGGGGATGCTTTGCCAGCCTCCTAGCAGATGAAACTCAGAGGAGTTCGTCTTGCTGAAATAACCACAGTCAGTGGAGTGTGATGGGGGAGGCCTTGCCTTGACTCTTTGCCCCTTGTCATGGCACAGAGCTCAGATGAGTGCCGTGTCTCGTGTATTTAGCCTGGCCAAAGACTGACCCAGGAAGCGTGACGAGGGAGGCCACAGCTCCCTCAGAGGAGTTTGAAGCCAAAACTCAGAGGAGTTTGAAGCCAAAATGAATATCCCACCTTGTGTTACACTGACTGCATGGTGGAAGAACAGACAAGGAGCTGAAGAGAGTTTGGAAAATGAGCAAGGCTGCTCTTTGTGAGCATGGGACAAGACAGCAAGGCGGGAGGAACACCAGAAAGGAAGTAAATCCTGTTAGTTTTACTGAGTTTTGAGGCCACAGCCTGGTTTGAGGGAACGCGGTATTATTAGATTACAATGTTTGGGTAGTGTGTAGTGCTCAGAGAGACGGAACTGTGATGGCCAGGAAGATATCCACAGCAGAATGGAAGGGATGGTGACATATTCTGACACTGTTGTAATCTTTTGATATTGCCTCACCCGAGTCAGGTGATGTGACTTGGTTGGTCCTTCCCATCTGGATAATCTTTGATTTTAGGCATGAAACTCTTGGCTGTTGGTGGACGCTTTGAAAACATCACAGAGTTTTGAGGCAATGTGGTATTTTTTACTCCAGGCAGCTATTAGCAGATCTCCCAACTTTTCTCCTCTGGCTGAATGTGCACAGCTTGTTTGTGGGGCAGTGCCGCTTCCTTTCATAGGCGTTTTTCACTGGGTTGCTGCTATTGCTGCCAGGACTAAGGCTTATTCTGCCCACAGGCTGCCACACTTGCAACTACAGATTTGTGTGTGTGACAGGCAAAAAAGACAAGGGAGGTGGCAACTTCAGGATGTGAGACAGAAGCAGGGTTCGGGTGGGTGCAACGCTGGAGCTGGAGTCACGTGCAAGGACCTTGCCCTTGCTGCTATGCCCTGTCCTTTGCCTATGGGAAGAGAAATGATGTGCCCAAACTGCTGCGTTTTATTGATTTTTATCTCCCTTTTGCCATAGCTCGACACTTTGAACGCTCCACGATAAGAAGCAGATCTTTTAAAAAGATAAACAAGGCTTTCAGTGTTCTTCGAAGGACAAAAAGTGGAAGCGCCGTTTCCAACCAGACTGACCGGGAAAGGGAGACTCTTGGAAATTCTGTTGCCGGAGAGGAAGGTAACACTTTGTTCTCCTTGTGTTATCACTTACAGTGGGGTAGGAGACCCTAGCCATGTGGGAACTTGAGGTCCATGATTGACATTCCTTTTATGTGGTGCAGTGCGTGTGATTAGGAAAAAAAACCCTACATTATTTTCCCCTTAAAGAAAATGAGTAGGGGATCACAGCGAGGAAGATTGCTGGGACGTGTGGGCCCTCACGTAGGGGTATTCTGGTAACAGCCCGCGTGCTGCGGGCGAGCCGGGATCTGAAGCACGGGATCAGGGATCTGGGATTTATTACTCAAGCTGCCATTCATTTGCTCCGTCATTTTGCTCGAGATGCCTTGCTAGCATGTGTCTGGTTTCCCCTCAAAGCAGACAGAGAGCAGTGATCATACATTATAAGAATTTCATGAGTTTTTACTAATGCTTATAAAGCACCAGAGATTCCCAGGCGGAAATAATATAAAAGTGTAAGTATAAAAGGGAAAGAAAGTGTAAAAGTACTGCCATTATTCTGGTACTTGCATGGGATCCTTGGTGCCAGATTTGTTTTGACTTGGCCAGGCAGGTGCTGAAGTAAGAGCAACCTGCCCTTAAACAGGGAGAGGAGGCAAGTCTGCCTGCTGCGTGTCAAGGGAGAGGGGTCTGGCAGGCAATAACACTTAACATTTGGCATTCTCAAAGCCCTGAGCAAATGTTACTAATTGCCTTAGACCGTAATTACTGTGCCAACATTAGCGTTTGTGCATCAAGAGGAAGTGATGATAGACGGGGAATCATCTTTAATCAAGGTCTTAATGGAGCTGATGATTCCTCTGCGTGATTTCTCAGCACCCCTCTTCTCTTCCCAAATCAGATGTCCAGGGTGGATGCTTTAGGAAGACAGGAGATTCATATTCCCTTTGCTCTATATTTCACATTATTATTGAAACCCACACAAAATAAGGACAAAATGTGGCCAAATTCACTGTGTTCAGTGATTAAACTTAACATGATGCATCACAAAATGGTGTTCAAAGCTCTTCTGCTTTAGCTGCAATGAAACTTCTTATAGGGTTCCACTAGGTCACTGTATTTTTGATACTTACTCTCCTAGTCCACATACTTGCGACGTAGCCAACATAAAATCAGATAACACAAAATCTGCAATCTTTTTTTTCTTTTTTCTTTCTTTTTGTTTTTTTTTGTAAAAATAAGATGGTTCTGCCCCTTGGCCTGGAAACATCTTTAATAACTTCACTGCCACAAATGTTTTATTTTTTCCAAAGTAAAACATTGCAAACAAGAAGTCTACAGCCCTCCTTGAGTAGATGAGTATGTTTCTCATTTCCTAGCAGCTGCTCAATCCATCATAAGCAGAAGCTTGTCCTTCTTCAGCTGGACTAAAATTCTGAATGTGTTGAGCCCATATTTTTCAAAAGACATTGTTCTGGCTTACCCATGGAAATTTTTATGACCGGTTTCTCCTTAAGCTTTTAGATGACATTGCTAATAGTTCACTGAAAGTTTGGTTTCACACCCAGAACACTGTGAGGATGATTTGGATGCCAGTGATACCTACCCAGTAACCCGCAGTGTAGTGCAGACAGTAACAGAAGTAGACACGAAGATGACGCTACATTTTTTGCATTCAAGAAAGGTTTTCATGTTGCCTCAGTTTTAAAATATGACCAGCTGTGGAAATGCTGGTATCAGAGTAATACATTTCTAGTAGAACATCAGGCACTGTTGTCTCCTTTTATAAAGTAGGGGCAATTGGGCTTTGAGGTGGCAATCTCCATGACAAGTTTGTCTTTCTGTGCTCCATTCTGCCTGTGGTTTCATTCTTGTGCATCAAGCATGCCTGTAAACTTCCAAATATATTTACTGCACTGGAAAAAATCAGGTAGGCATGTAATTACTTAATGAGCAGTTACCCTTATGCATGAGATCACAGAAGCTCAGTACCCAAATTATTGCATTAATTACACATGCAAGGAATGCACTTGATTACACTGCTCTGTAATTTGGTCTTTAAAAAATGCAAGCAAGTAACTTGCAGCAGCGCTGTCTTGAATTTTGGAAAATTTTTGCTACTTAGGGACACTGAAAAATATGATATATAATGGTAAATGTGTCTCTGTTGTTATTGCAGTGGAGAAATAGTTACAGTCTTATACTGTCTTATACCTGGAAGCACTTCTGCACTGTGAAGATCACTTCACCATTTCCATTTGGAATATGTGCCTTAATTTACTAAAGCACTATAACAGGCAAAACAGGATGTGTCTGTAGTGTGGCAGCCAAGCTAATGGATGGCTATAGGTACTTACTTGAGAGGAAGCTCACAAACAGCCCTTACTGTAGCAAACAGTGTTCCAAAATTGAAGCAGAAGTTAGGGCAGCTTAAAAGCAACAGTTTCAACCTCTGAAGCGAGGGAAGGCAACTGGGACGTCCTTCCAGCGTGATGCGTTTAGGCCCTTGACAGGCTGCTTAAACAATAAAATAACTGTGAGCCAAGACTGCTCCTGTGCGCTCGCAGTTTGGTGTCACGCTCTTGAAATCACTCCCAAGAAAGGCTGCACTTGTGCTCCTGCTCAGCCTGGTCTGCATATGCACACTGTGAACGGCCTGGCACGCTGGGAGGATGGATGGAGATCAGGAATGCAATTGCAAAAGCCTTTATGCAGCTTCACAGTGAAAAGGAACCATCCTGCTGGTTTACAAAGATGTTCATCAGCTCCTTTTTGCAGTTAAGCCATTGTAAAATAAATTGAATTTATGATTGCTTGAGGATGTCAAATGCTGTTCAAAGTGAAATTCATTCTTTTTAGCATCCTGGTTGTTGCAGCGCTTCCATCTGTTACTGCTTTGCAGCAGTTGAGACCAAGGAAGCTTTGGCAGGAACATGCCACAAACTCTCCTGTTGTGTGGCTGTATTGCACTCTTTCTGTTCAATCTCATTCCTGGTGCATATATATATGCACACATACACACACATATATATATGCATACACAAGAAATACTTCTATGTTGAGGAAACGTAAATGAAGAATAGAAGGTAAGTGAAATACAGATGGCTTTGGGAAGATACCAATGCCTTTTTTTTTTAACCACTGAGTAGCTATAAAAACTCTTATGTACAGGAGAAAAAAAAAAAAAAAAGGCAGCTCATGCAGCCCAAAGCTGAGGCGGCAGCAGCCCAGCGTTCAGCTCAGGAAGGCTGCACCCTGCAGGCATCACACCCGGTTCCTGTTTTTCCCCCTTCAGATTTGGTTGATTTCTCAAAACAGCTTGTGAAAGTTTTACAGAACTGACTCAAAACACTCTGCTCTAGGATGATGAACAAGGCAAAAGACTTCTGGGGGATGCGAGGAAAGAGAGAGATCATCTCTGTAGCATTGGGATGCATTTGACCCTACAATAGTTTAATTTTAGTTCTTTTGAGACTCTTTTGGTAGAAGAATGTCTTGAAGCAAGGAAGGACATTAGAGCTAGTGTTGTCTCCTACCATCATCTTGAACTGGACCAACATCCCTGGAGAATCAAAGGAGAAAAGTGAATCCAGCACTGCTGCTTGCAGGATGATGGCAATGCACTGGGAGAGTCAAACACTAAATGACGGTTATTTGCAAGGGAAGATGTGCAAAACCAACTCCCACATTGGCATATGGCGTATGAGAATCAAAGACACGTATTTTCCAGGAATGGGCTACACAAGCTTTTTTCAGTTCTGGAAACCAGATGCCAGAAAACACGAGTGGGTTCCCTGCAGAAAATCTAACTTACAGGAGTGGGCTCCAGTCATGCAAAGTTTCATTGACTTCAGCTGGCAACTCTCATGAGTCAGGCCCCTGGGGCTGAATGAGGACTTGCAGTCTGGGACGCAGATTCTGTTTGCAGTCACCTTGGATCAAGCTGGACTGGGCCATCACAGCAAACATTGCGCAGAGCTTCGTCACGCTTGATCCCGGGAGTGAAGGCAGAAGTTACTCTGATGGCAGCGCTGTCAGCAAGTGCACAGTGTGCACACAAGGTGGCTGAAGCCTGAGCGCTTGGAGGAACACTAGCGTTAAGTAATATAAACTGTGGGGATGAAATATTAAGTGCACGTAGAATTTCATATTACAGTCTCGTGGCTAATGTGTCATGAATGCTCCATGAGCCTGCATCCTACCAGATGAGCAGGGTTTGATGTGTCTGTCCTCTCCTGTGTTACTTGTAACTGTAACAGGGTGTGTAAAAATACCAATAAAATTGCACACTAATAAGGAAAAGATGGCTTGAGGGAAAAGCACACAGTCTACCTGAATGCAGATGACATTTTATTATTATTGACAGATTCAGAATGCACCATACCACTCCCGATGGCAAAAACACAGCACTCTGTGGGAAAATCGGCAAGAATCATCAAAAACAAGACAGAAAGTTCACTTCTCTCTAAATTCAGCCGCTCTTCGATATTTAAGGACTGGAAAGATAAAATGGTGAAGAAAGGTATGCAATACTCCAGGGTTTTCCTGCTCTGGAAAACCTGGTCAAAGCAAAGGGAGAATACTAAGAGTATAAGGGCTATAAGAACATAAAGGCTATTTTATCAAAAGAGATATTTGCATTTAGCATACAACAATGTCAGTTGTTGGTGATGCAAGCATCACATGAAAATATGAAATATTAAGAGCCAAGGTTTTAATGAAGATAGAAATACAGGGATCATCAGTTGTTGTTTGGCATAGTGCAACTTGTTATATTTTTTAAAGAGCACCAGGAAATCGACTGCAGCCAGGAGGTGAAGCAGTACATTCTGCTAAATAGAAAAAGAGAAACCTGCTGACTTGCACGCTGGCAAGAAAAAGCAGTGTCTTGGGAAGACTCTTGGTTTTTTTTTTTTTTTTGGTTGCTGACTGCACCCTTGAGAAGCAAATCAGGTACTAAAACAACTTCTAAAGAATCATGATGAAGTCATGCTGAAGGCAAGCCAGGTGCTACTGCAAAACTTAATAAGCCAGTTCAGGTAACTGTGGGGACTTGTTCACTGCTGCGCTGCTCTCATCTTCTTCTGGGATAATTACAGATTGAAGTAGCATGAGTGGTTTCCATTGTCAAGAAAAGTGGGAACTTTTTCTTCGGGAAAGGCTTGAGGAATGAGATATTGTTTGTTAGGACACAAAGTAAATCATCCTGCAATGGGAAACTTGAGTGGTTCTGCTATTAGAGCACTTTGGTAGTTTGCAGATCTACTAAGAAATTCATTTATGCCGTTTCTATGCAGAGAATAAAGACAGGGGATGCAAATATGATTTGCTTTTTGCCACATATTTCTTCCCTTGTATCCACATGGAGAGTGTAAAACAGGTGTACTTATTAGTACATCTAATTACCTACACCTAATGTACCTTTGTTAGTACACCTAAGTAGATCATCAAATGAGATGTCTGGGGAGGTGTTTAGGTCATGTGAATCCCACCTCCAGGCTGGACAGGATCAAACAGAATGAGCAAATGACACTCAGAAAGTAGGAGTGTGTGGAGGAAATAGTGCACGTCCCCCTCCCTTGACATTAAAGAAGTGTGCAGAACTGAAGTGAGTGGGAGATGAAACTGCTACTACAGGAGAACAGGTTTAACAAACCCTTGCATATTAGGCTAATGAAGGCTGTGTAATTATCTAGATAGATTTTTGTTACCTGTCAACTCTGTGTAAAACTACAAAGTCCAAGTCTGTGCTACTGGTAGGTGCTTTTTACAGACGTGAAGGAGGACAGCTTCCCGCCCTGAAGACTGAAGAAGTGGTAAGGGCTGCAACAAAGTGTTTCTCAATTTTTTTTCTTTTCTTTCTCTCCTTCTTCTCCCAGAACTTTCTGGTGGCTTCCTTGTTTGTTACTCGGTGCCTGTGTAGTAGGAAATATTGCGCTGTCTCAGATACGCTTCATTAATTAATTTTCATGTAACATTTTGCTGCTCTTTGATAGCAATCCCTGTACTTTCATTTCAAAAATAAGTTGTTGAAAAAATATTAGCACTTTTTCTACTTACATGTTTTCACATAGACTTTGCCCTAGACTCTGTTATGAAAAATTTAAAAGCTGTCTGTCATCTGTGGGAGTTCAAGGCAGCCTGTACTAGTACACCAGTACTAGATAACTCACTGATGCTTTTACTTGGACTTTGAATTTGGACACAAATTGCCCTGAAAGGAAAGAAATTAGCAGTGACATGCTGTGAAAACAAACATGCCAGTTGAAAAGTAGGGTTTGGAAAAAATTAACTCTTCTCCAGGGTATTAATGAATAAATAAAGGGGCCCCCATGCACCATTGCTGCCTCTGCCCCATGCTCAGGTTGGCAGGGCCAGTAGGTCTTTTCTTGACAGCCGAGCAGTCCCAATGGTTCCTGTGGCCCAGCCGTTCATAAAACATGCGGGGAAAATGCCATTTTTCCTCCAAATAAATTGGCTGTTACTAAAAACCAAGCTGCTCATTCCCTGTACACGAGGAATCCAGTTCAGCTAAGTTTGCAAGTGTTTGGTTTAAGCACAGGACCAGACTGACAGCTGCAGTGGGATTGTTCAAGCACTTTGGATTTGGCACACTTACCTCCTGTGGCTGAACTGAAATCCATACCGAAGAATAACGACCTGCTATTTTTTACAGAGAGGAAAAAATACCATCCAGCCACACTGAAGTCTAGTTGTATTTATTCAGGGTTAAAGGTCTGCAGTTCTACTTCTTCAGACTGTGGATAATAGTGGGAAGTACCACCTCCTATATCAATGGTAGCACATGCGCGTTCATTTTAACTTGCTTTTCTTGATCAGCTTGTGGAATAAGCCTCTACTAGAGCTGATAGAGTTGGTTTGTCAGCAGCAGTAATTCTGCTTGTGTGTATCTGCTGCTTTGAAATTTGGAAGAGAATTTGTCTAATGCAGATATTCTTTGAAGTTTCCCACCAGACACCTTGGATATACTGACATTTTGCAGTAAAAGCCAGTTACTCCTATTTCATAGAGCTCAAGCAATCATGAAAGGACTGGGGTCTGACAGGGAAACTACCATTTTCTTGGGGTAATCCAAGAGATCTTTCCTTTCTATTAGTTGGAGGTAAAGAAATGCTTCCTTGGACATCCCAAGCCAAATGTCCATCCCCTGCTATGGCACCAAAACTGGAGGAGAACAGGGTAGTAACTGCTCGGTCCAACCAGGGAAGCTGCCTCTGGGGAAGTCTTTGCATCCCACCACAGCAGGGGCTGCCAGGGCATGGGGGTTTCTCAGGCAGCGCTCATTGGCCTGAGGCCAGTAAAGAACCATGGTCTGGTCCTCAGGGATCTCTGGTCATTACTGGCTGCATCCCTCCCAGCTTAGCGTAAACCACATCTATGCATAAAACCTGCTTTGGATAGCTGGCAGATACTCAAAGTTGCACGGTGCATGTTTGAATGCTGTGAAGCTGTGATTTTGAATAAACACCTTACAATGTGCATTTCCAGGTTTTCCCAGATTGTATCACCTGATTCCAGATGGTGAAATTACCTGCATTAAGATCAACCGTACTGATCCCAGTGAAAACCTGGCCATTAGGATTGTGGGAGGCAGCGAGACTCCTCTGGGTCATATTATTATTCAGCATATTTATCGAGATGGGGTAATTGCCAGAGATGGAAGATTGCTGCCTGGAGACATGATACTAAAGGTACAGTACTGCGGAGGTAAAAGATGAAAAAGAAGTATCCTAAGAGTGAGGCAGTACAAGCAGATCATAGAGATGAGATTTGTGGAGTTGCTTGTTGGTGTGGATGGAAAAATATATGAGAAAGAGGTTGAATTGGTCTGGGTGCTGTCGGGACTTCAGTCAGCTGTGTTTGAGGTTCACAGGTTTGTTTATTTTTCCTACTCAGTATTGGGCCTCCCCGAGTCCTAGCTGAACGGGGTGACCCAAACGGTGGTGTGGTGCATTTTGGTGCGAGCGTTTCTAGCAGTTCCCCGGGTTCTGGGGGCTCGCCGGGTGCAGCGTCACTCTGGTGCTCGGACAGGAAGGCTCTGAGACACGACTGCCTCGTGGCAAAGGGCCCCCAGCCTCCCCGGCCGCTGTAGCGGCGAGGCACCGAGAGCGAGGAACCTGCGCGTGGAGGAGCAAGAAGAGCCAACGTAAACTTGAATGAAGGAAAGGAGGGGAAGGGTCAATCTTCAAAAAGCCCCTGCAGAAGTTTTGCTGAAATGAGGACTGGACTTTTTGTCCTGTTTGTTCCCAGTGTGTAATGGGCTGAAGTCCCACTTAGTGTGCTTTCCTTTAAACCTGCTTGCATCAGGATGGGTGGTAGGGGCCTCACCAGGGTTAGGTTCTTTCTGCGTCCAGCTCCAACGTGCAATATGTTTGTGAGACACTGTTTTGGGTTTTGTGAGTGTTTGTTTCTATAGAAATGTATATCAGACAAACAATGTTTAGGCCAGATGCTTAAAAATCATGTTTCTTGCAAGCAATAGCTTCAGCAATAGCTGTTGAATGACCCCTGCATTCTCAGCTGCCCCATCAACACGGAGCCCTGCAAAGAGGCAAAGTCCTGGGTAGAGCAAAGCCAGAAGGCACTAGCTGCTTTCCTTGCTTGCCATGCTGGTCTGATGGTGTGCAGTTTGGGAGCACAGGCCACTTGGCACTGCCAGCCAAAGGCAGGGCCACAGCACACGCAGCAGCGCCCAGAGCAGCTCAGAGCAGCTGGCGCAGACACGGTGCCTCTGTGACCAGAGTGTGCCCACCGGGGCCTGCAGATGGAGGTGAGCACTGGAGCACCCTGCTCTGCCCTCGTGGGCCGCGTTCCTCGTCCTTGCCTGCTCTGCCCCTCGTGGGCCACGTTCCTCATCCTCGTCTGCTCTGCCCCTCATGGTCCGGGTTCCTTGTCTACATCTGCTCTGCCCCTTGTGGTCTGCGTTCCTCGTCTATGTCTGCCCCTCATGGTCCGCGTTCCTCGTGCTCACCTGCTCTGCTCCCTGTGGGCCACGTTCTTCGTCCACGCTGCCGAGTGTCTCTGCTGCGCCTTGGAGGCCTTTCTTAATGTTTTAAGTGATTCGACCTGTGTAATGTAGAGCTACATGGAAATAAGTTGTCTGATTCAGGTTTTCCAGGAACGTATTACAGCCTCACAACTGGTTTTCATTTAGCAGTGGGAAAATGTAGTGCCTAGTCAGCCCTGTGCACACAGGCAGGGCAGGACTAGCGACAAGTCCTCCTTTCCTCTTTGGCAGTCAAGTTAAAGAATTGTCACTTAGGCTGTTTTATAGTCTTCTGCAGTAAACCTTACGTGAGAAACACTGAGGAACCTAAAAAGCCTGATTCTCTGGTGAGGTATTAATCATAATGCTAGATAAATGTCTAGGGCTTTGAACTTCCAATGCAAGGCGCTCCTCTCTGCTTCAGTTAGAGGTTTGTTAGTTTGACACAAGTTTTCGTTAGCTTTACAACCTTTACAACCTTTTTTTTTTTTTTTTAAACTTTAGCTAAAGCAGTCGGGAGATCGGGAAGCAGAGGAACAAGAAATGTGGGAGTGAAAGGAAAGGCCGGCGAGATGATATGTAATCAGGAGCTAGTGGAATCAGACTAAGATGTATGAAAGGATATTGGAGCTCGGGGAAGAGTAGCAATAAAGCTGAAGGATAACAATTGTGTCTGGAGACCATCAGGGAGAAGGGGGTAGGAAAGGACCTAGGTGTCTGTTTGCACATCCGTGCCAATAGCTGAGGCGCCTCCCCAGCCAGCAGAGGAGAGGTGGTCTCGGTGCCGCTGACGCCCGTCTCTCTCCTGCAGGTGAACGGCATGGACATCAAACACGTGCCTCACAACTACGCGCTGTCGCTGCTGCGGCAGCCCTGCCACGTGCTGCGGCTCACCGTGCTCCGCGAGCAGCGGTACCGCTGCCGCGGCCTTTCCGCGGACACGCGCTGCGCCAGGGACGACAGCTTCCACGTGGTCCTCAACAAGAGCAGCCCGGATGAGCAGCTGGGCATCAAGCTGGTCCGCAGGGCGGACGAGCCGGGGGTCTTCATTTTCAACCTGCTGGAGGGAGGGGTGGCTGCCCGCGACGGGCAGCTGCAGGAGAACGACCGCGTCTTGGCCATCAACGGGCACGACCACCGCTACGGCAGCCCCGAGAGCGCGGCCCACCTCATACAGGTTTGTCACAACCCCCTCTGCTCATCTCGGTCGGAAAAAAACAAGCAGTGTAGTCTCACAGTCTATACTAATTGAGGCCATTCCAATGGGAGTGTGCTGGGGCAGGGGAAGGGACACCTCACCTTGGCTGGGAATGTGCACCTGTAAAATCTCCCGGATTTCACCTAACGTAGGTGTGAACTATCTTGCGGTGATGCAGTCAACTCACTCAGGGGCTTCATCACGAAGTACAGAGCAGTGTAAATCCCTAGGTAGTTGTGTGTCGTTTATCTTCCAAATTCTTCTCCAGAACTATCTCCACTTGGTTTCTTTCTTTACAGTCCCTCTTAGTAGTTTCCTTTTTAGATAACTTTGACATAAAAAGCAAAGCAAAGCATGTTGTGTTGCTTTATCTCCCTTTCACAACGGTCCTTGTGAAACTGTACAGTTTCTTTGGAGGGATGCACAGTGCTCACATATTGAAGGATTTCATGTGCTTCAGTACCAGGGTGTCAAATCAGTCTGGATTCTCCCCATTTTGTACAAATGTAATCAGCATAACCTGAGTTAGACTTAAAGAAGCATTTTGCACCAATGCACCCTTTGGAAAGGATTCCTCTTTTAGCATAGATTCCCAGAAGAGTGTAACTAACTCTTATTGGGAAGTTTCTGGCAGAGCTAAAGAGGGATGCACCAACTCACCTCATCCCGAGGAGAGCGGCGCGCTGCCTGGGGAATGGGTTTATGCGCAGTTGGGTAATGCCAGTTGTGGAATCTCCGGCTCAGTATCATTCTGGGTTACTCTGTGTAGCTCGCTGACCAAGAAAGAAGGGAGAAGAGGTAAATTCTTGGAGAAGAACAAAGCCTGGGGTGAAAATCTTCTGGAAAAAAAAAAAAAGGCGTTCTTGGAACAGCTCTTCCAGGCGGCAAAACAAGGCAACACTGCTTCGTAAGCAAAAAACACATGCGGCCTAGAGATGAAATGGAAAAAATGACTGATGAGGCCATTCTCACACAAGTGTTTAAAAGTGCAACCAAGCTCTTATTGGGTTCCAAGGAGTGGATGTTATTTATAATAATGCTTGAAATGCACACCAGCCCCTGGGGATTTAAACAACATGCCCATCAAAGGGACAGAGTCAGGTTTCCAAACAGCCAGGATTACATTGCATTGATGTGAGCTCTATGAATCACATTTGCCTAACACAAAGTTGCTGGTCCCTGTGCCTTCTTTGTCATGTTTTTTCATCAATTATCATTTGCCTTTCCTGTTTGCATGTTATACCAGAAAACAGCCATTATACCGAAGCCGCAAATGTTTTGCATTTGCTTTTTACACGGCATACTTTACTTGGCCCTCTGATTTCTCAACAGTACCTCGCCTGTTGAGACCCAAATTGTCTCACTTGTGGTATATGGAAATCTACAGATCAGCAGCACAGGATGCTTCAGATACAGAACTGGTTTCTTGAAAAACAAAGCTAACTTTTATTTTAGTATCATGAAAAGGGGAGGTTGTTATTTGTATTACCTTGTTTTCCTGCAGCTTTGTCTTCCTCCTTCATTATGCTGAGCACAGCTGGAGGGACATCAGATTTCCGTGGACTCTGATTAGCTTTGCCTTCCAAATAATGAGTAATTGAGCAATATCTGGTTTTCCAGACCTTCAGCAGTCTCGCGTTAGCGTGTGCGGAGCAGTTGCTGACCAGTAGATGAGGTGCGTGGCTTAGGAACCGCAGAGGGACGTGCCCCACGGTGGCGCGTGGAGAGGTGTTGCCCCCTGCTCGCTCGCGGCCTCGTGTGGGCCGCAGCCCTTGCGGTGGGAGCGGCGTGGGCTGCGCGTCCGCGCTGCGCAGGGGCGCCTGGAGAGCAGTCCGGGCACCCAGGAGTGCAGCCGTGCGGGGCTTTACTGCCCCCAGATGTTCACCGTGCTGCCCGTGGCCCTGCCGCCGCGTCCCTGGAAAAGCGGGGCCGGAGTCGGGCGCCGCAGCATGGCTCTTTTTGATGACTTTTCATCAACAGCTCTGCAGAGCTTCCTCGCTTGGTGTTTGATTTGCCCTGGGTGCATGGCGAGTTTTCACTCGAGCAACGTGTTTGGGCTGCTCTTTGTGTTCAGCCCCGAAGCCGCCCTCGTTTTTTTAGTTCTTGCTTCATCATAAACAGCAGAGAAGGAATTGTGGGGAAATGCAAGCAGCAAAAGGGGAGGGCAGGGAGAGGTCAGAACGAACAGCAATTAATGCTCTGATCAGTAGAGGCATTAATGTGGTCTTTTTTTTTAATAGAAGTAGGTAAATACAAGAGCCAGTCTTGTTGTTTGGATAACTTTTAAATTCTTTGGAGTTCTGAGAAATTAGTCGGCTTGACTGACCTGGAGACAAATGTGACGTTGCAATAGACACTCTCGTTGAACTTTTGCTAGCCATTCTGCAATGAATTAATCACATTTACAACCTTCTTGTAAATAACCATTTTTGAGAATAACCATGTGGCAGCAGATGAGTTTTAAACAGCAGTTGCGTAAGTTGAAGTTTGTTTTAGAGAAAGCTGTATTTTCTTGGGGTCATATGCCCTTAGGAGGTTTCCTCTGGTATTGTTCTGTTATGTTTTAAGAAACTTGATAGACCAGGAGTTAGTGTGAGTTCTCTCCCAAGATACAGCGCTGTCCTTTTGGGCACCAGATGAGTTTGGAGTCCAGGAATTAATATTCCGTTACAATAAACATAATAAAAATACCTAGAAAGTTATTTTAAAGTATGTATGCGTGTACCAGATGCAGATATTATGAAGCTGTGTGGATTTTAGTTGCTGGTGGAAGAAACATTGGGAAGTAACAGGGAAGTGCACATATTTTACTGAGCTGCCACCTCCCTTGGAAACCGCAGTCACGTGCGCGCCTCAGTGGCGGCTTCGCGGCATCCCCAACGCCTCAGCCTGTCGAGGGCGCTTTGTGGAGATCCCAGAAGCAACATGACTTTCCTGGAGGCTAATTGGTTTTGCAGAGCCTGTTCCTGGAGTGAGAAGTTTGGCCAGCGTTGCAGCCCACACCCCGCTGCCCTGTGCGCCTGCTCACATGTTTTCCCCCTCTTTCTCCCTGCTTTGTCGCAGTAGGATTTTCTCTTTCAAAACAGCTTCACGTTTTTTCCTTAAGCTTCCCTAGACTTGTCCTATTTGTTGCATGCAGGTGGGCTCCTTTGCATCGTTTATTCCCCACTTTGGCCAAAGCACAAGGATGTCACCGGCTAAGGAATTAATTGTGTCTTTCGGCGCATTCCCGCCCCAGGCAGGAGCTCTGCTGTCTGCCTGTCTGGCACGGCACTGCCCGGGGCTCCTGCACACAGGTGCACACAGCAGCAGAGCCACGCTCGCTGTGGTGGGAGCACTGCTGCAAGCAAAGCTGGGCCTTTTCAGGGACTTAACACCAAATTTTGAAGAGAACTTTACATTTTTGCTTGCAAACTATTTTAAATGCCTAAGCATTCACTTTTCCAGCATGGGCTTTATTAACATGCACTGATGCTATTGCTGCGTGTCACTGCGAGCCCGGGAAGTCGGAGCAGCAGTGCTGGAGTAGCACCCGCATCCCCAGGACTCCCTGGGGAGGAGGAGGGGGAGGTGGTTGGGACAGATGTGTGGGATTCACCCCGTGTCTCCTCCCGCAGGCCAGCGAGAAGCAGGTTCACTTCCTCGTGTCCCGCCAGAGCCGGCAGCAGCCCCCGGACATCGTGCAGGAGACGGGCTGGAGCTACGGCGGGCCCCCGCCCTGCCCCGCCGCCCGCAGCAGCCCTGGCAAGGTGAGCAGGACACATGCTGGCCCCTTCCTCCGCTGCCTCCTCCTCCTCATCCTCCTCCTCCTCTGTGGGAAAGCGGCCAGGGGCTTGTGCTTGGACATCGCGTGGTGCTATCTCTGGCTTCCTTCACCGGGAGAAGCAGGTCCGATCCTGCAGTGTAAACGTGCAAACCTGGTTATTTATATGCTGGGAAGTGCTTCTGTCTTGGCTCAGCCTGGGGCGGGAAGGAGGCTGAAGGGCGGCGGTGGAGCTGCCCCGTGTTTGTGCACAGCGTGCTGTGCGTGAGCCCGCCGAGCCAGCACAGCGCCGGGCGCTAGCGACACTAAGAGGCTTAGCTGGGGTTTCTCCATCTGGAGCGAAGTCTGTAGGGTAAAAGCGTTCACGGCCTGCTCAGAGAGATTCCCATTTTGCTTGCAAAGCACAGCAGTGGTTGGAGTGTGGCTGGTTGCTGAGGGTGTGTGCGCCCCGGGCCAGCCGGAGGGCGGCCCGTGGGCACAGCGGGGCTCTCGGACCGTGCGGAGCCCGGCAGGGCTGGCAGCACTGATCCAGCCCAGGCGCTGCCCAGCGCCTTTGAAGAAGCGAGCAATGCAGCAGGAGCCCTGGAATCGCCCTTTCCTGAGCTCACGTAGCGGTGTCCTTTGCGATAGGCACAGGACAGGATATGCACTTTTTTACTGGTGGGTAACCAGCCTCCTACAGAGGTGAGCAGTGGCCTCCATGAAGGTTTTGGCAGCTCGTGTTTAGTTGTGCTGCTGCAGGGTGACCTCAGGGGGCCTCGTCTTGCCCCTTTTGCAGTGGGAACAGCAAGAGTGTCGCCCCAGGTGAAGCGCTGTGCGAGTCAGGCACTGTCATAAAGGACTGGGAAAGATGAGAAAGGCAAAGAAGAGCACAAATCCCTGTGGAAAACAGCAGCCTTCTTCGGGCAGTTCACACGTCCTCCTTTGCAGAGGACAAGGCAGCACAACCCTGCTGTTTGCCCACGTTCAGAAAAGGGGATCTGAATTAACTAAAGGCATAATTCTAAATGGGATTAGTGCCACTTTAACCAGATTAAACGGTCGTGAGGATGTGTTCTCCGTGAAGGAAAGTGGCTTGGGATTACCTGTCATTATGCCAGGTAATCACATTAGACTCTACTTATTTTGGCCGTATGCAAAGATGCCCTTGCGCGAGCTGGATGCGCTCCCTTCACTGCAGTTAATTTACACGGATCTCCCTGGGGGCGCCGCTCGTGCAAGCCCTCGTGAGCTCGGCCTCCGCAAGGCGCAGGCGCGTGGGCAGCCCGCTGTGTCCTCGAGGGCACGTGGGGACGGTGCTGCCAGGATGGGCACATGCGCGGCCAGCAGACAAGCCTCGTGCTGCCCTCCACAAGGGTTTATAAGTACCCACTCCTTGCTGCTCTTCCTTTCCTGTCTTTTCTTTTTTCTACCTCTATTTATTCCATGTTTTTATGTTTAGGAAGCCATGGTTGCTTCTATTGATGTGTCTTTACCTTCCTTTTGCATGAATTCACAACCCTTACTAAGGTGAGGCTTCATGACCAGGGTTCCCCCAGTTGCAGGGTGGCTGCTCAGCAGCTCCCAGCTGGCAGCGAGCGCTGCCCTCCTCCTGGTGCATCTGCCCAGCATTCGTCCCCAGTGCAGCAGGCCTTCCCTCCGGGATGCTATGTGGAGTACAGCGCTTAGCTCAGGTCACTACCGTGTGATTTCTGGGGGTACTCGGAGCACCTGCTAGCACTACCACCTTGATCTGATCGATCGATACCTCGTGGGACTCTGGGAACATCACTCATTTCCCATACCCTGCGCCAGACGCCTCTTCTCTCTCCCTCTGCCGAGAGGCACTGGCTGGGAATTCTTGGTGGACCAGGCGTTACTAGGGGAGCAGTCAGGTAGTGAGGAGCCAATGCAGACATGGCCGCGGTCCTTTCCAGGCTGGCAGGCCGTGTCCCGTTGGCGAGGCGCCGGCTCTCGGGGAGGTTCCTGCCTCGCCACGGGAGCGTCGGCGGGCACGCTGCTGCGCGCGTCGGCCCAGCGCCGCTGCCTTGGAGCTTCTCAGGGAAGATCGTGGCCAAAGGGGGAAGCTGGGAGCTGTTCCCAGCGCCCTCCAGCTTTGCATGTGGGCAGTGGAGGGCTCATCCCAGGCAGGGCGCTCTGGCAGTAGAGCAGTGCAGCCAGCAGACATGAGGAGCTGTAGGCACTGCGGGCTCTTGGTCTGATACAGGCGCTACTGGGGCTCTGTTTGCCCTTTCGTGTGGTATGAGTATGTCACTCCGAATTTTGCTTAATGTGCAACTGAACATCCCTTGTAATTCAAGATCCTTAAATTTCGAGCTTTGGTGGACTTAAAACTGTATTTCTCTTTGAACAGGCACTGGTGCAGGAACAGTGCTTACAAGAGCAGGGTCTGCCTGGTTTCCTAATACTGCGAATGCTCCTGCTCAGCCCCGTGCACCCTTCACTGCCTACACTGGAGGGAGGCCGAGGGAGGTCTCTCTAGATGCATGCCTCAAATCTGCTACCTTCTGCCATCAGTGGGACTGCACTATGATATGTGGTTGCTAGAGAGATCGCGAACTAACTGGAACTTGAGTTGGTTTTCGCCTGAGCTTAGCCTAGGAAGTGGTATTAACAAGTCAAGAGTGATCTCTTTGAGGGAACCAGCTCCCTTGTAGGACATGTGTGTAAATACAGGCTGGAATTGGCTCCCAAGTCTTGGCTGTGTTCGGTGCCAAGAGTGAACTTGAGCTTCCAGCAGTCGCTTTGATGGTATAAGGGCTCAGGGGCTGCACGAGCGCGGCGGCGCACGGTCTCCTCAGCTTGGGCTCTCGTGTACACGAGCGGGGACGTGAGGCCCAGACTGCTGCGGCTGCTGCCCGGGCGCGGAGAAGAGGTCAGAGACACCGTCTCGTGCAGCAGGGGCTCTTGAGCAGGGCTGCAGCGCACACATAAGCCGCTTTCGCCGCCTTTGAAGTCGCTGGGAGCCTTGCCATTAAACAGCGCTCATTCTTAGCTGTAACTGTTCTCCGATTCCTCCTGACAAATTAGCTACCTAACCAAAGCGGGCCTGTCACCCTGTCACCCGCACAGCCCAGGTCTGCGGCCGTGTTTGTAGGTCGGCCCTCAGGTGAACTTCGCTTTCCAGGCAGGCCCAGCTGTGTCCTGTGCCCGCGAGACACGCGGCACGGCCAGGGCTGTGATAATCTGCTGTAAATATTTATTTCACAGTAAACTTACAGAAAAATAAAATAAAAAAGAGGAAGAGATGAACTGCTATGTTTTCCTACTCTTGACCTCTAAGGTCAATTCAGCATGACAGAGAAGGAAAGAAGTTCTTCCAGTTGTTTGGAAGAACATGCACTGAAACGCGGTTGCTGATAAACACTGCCTTTTAACCAGTGTCCTTGTTATCAGCAGTACCTCCAAGAAAGCCCTACGTGTGTTTATTAAAAAAGGTTTTACTTTCCTTTCATCACTGTCTTCCTCTCAGCTGAGTCACCCTGATTCCGCAATCATATAAAAAATGACGTGTGGAAGAGTGGCTTCAAAGGAAGACGGATCCTGTGTGTTTGTGTGTATGAGTATCAGCACTTTTATGAATTTTCACTGAAATGTACGATGGTAATTTGTTCCCAAGCACTGCTTTGAAAGCTGCTTGTTTCTGCACCAATTCTACAAAAACGGAGCATTGGCTCTTTATCAGGAGCATTTTGGGTGTCTGAGATGTAATGGGCATGGTGTAAGTTAACACTGACTCTTTTGAGTTGCCAACCTAATTCCAATTCTGTATTTTGTTACAAAATCTCAAACTGCACTTTTGTGAGAATTAGTAGTGTCCTTATCCTGCTTCCTTTGGGAAGTGGCCTTCTGCAGGAAAGCTGTTCCTTTTCAAGGGGAAAGGAACACTTCTGCACAAAGGAAAACAAAAGGATGAAACGTAAAGCAAAATGAAGTTTATCGTGCACAAGGATGGAACAGTGATGTTTCAAACACACTACAAAGATAAAGGTGATATTTTGGAACATAAAGCAAAATGAAGTTTATCGTGCATGAGGATGGAACAGTGATGTTTCGAACACTTACACTACAAAGATAAAGGTGATATTTTGAAACATAAAGGAAGATCTAGAACAGAATGTCCTTATTTCTAAAAAGGGAATGCTGTAGCCTTTGGAAATCTTAGTGCGTTGGCTGCAGGTGAGGATTGCGCTTGCCCTGACACGGCGCTCGTGTTGTGCCCAGGATGGAGGTGCTGCACCCAGACCCCTGTGCCTGGCGGGGCTTTGCCCCGGTGACTGAGCAGCCTTTCCTGGGTGGTTTTTGCTTTGCTGTTCTTGCAGCTCGCTGGCACCCGCTGTCATTTTGTTCAAGCACCTGAAATCCTTTGCTAAGCTGCCGAAAAGTTCAGCTTTTAGTGACTGATGCTGCATGACAGAAATGCTGGCACAGAATCAGCACCACCAAATACACCTTTAAAAAAGTACAAAAACAATCCCCTGCTCTGCCATGTAAACCTCAACCTTTTTCCCTTCCTATTCCTGTAAAACCCTCCCGCTGCCGTTTTCCTTCCTTTCCTGCAGGCAGGGCTGCAGCAGCCACGGGCCCACGCGGGGCTCTTGGCCCAGGAATCGGGAGGGAATGGCTTTGTGGGATCTCAGATTTCTTGAAAGAGATGAATGTGGCTGTAAATGAGATTTATAGATTATTTTTGCATGTTATAAATGTGAGGTCACGCTCGTGAAAGAGAGTTTTCAAAATATATATTTGAAATGTATTTAGCAGCATGTCTATTATATGAGTCTGGAATGGATGGTGCTGTTCCTGCAAGAGGGCTGGGACCGGCAGGAATTGGTGCCAGGAACGCAGCCTATGAAATACTTAAGAGAGTCAAAGCAGTCAATGTTTAGATCCAGGTTTTCTGGAGGAGAGTCCCTGTCTCCTGAGTCTTTCCGTAAAAGCGCTGGACATGTTTTTGTCCAGGTGATGCTGGGCTGCAGCCTGTGCTGCCACTCTCAGCTTGTGCCGCCTGTGAGTTGGTGTCACCCTCACCGCTACACTCGTTACTTGTGTGACCGGTTGTGTGTAGGAAACGTTTTCCGTGTAGGCTTAAGAACAGGGCATGAATGACTGTCCCCGGGCAGAAGAGATGCTCCCGCCAGGCAGTGACCTCCCGAGCACAAGGAAGAAGAAGAGCCCCCAGAAGCGGCTGCCTCTTCACTCTACAAAAGTCCCTCTCAGTTTCTGAATGGCAAGACCTACTTTTCTACTGTATTTAAGCCAGCACCTTCTGTAGAAACATGGACATAGGGAATAGCGAGTGAAGTGTGTATCTTCCCATGTGTTCCCCCAAGTTCCATTCCTGTAACCCAGGTGTGCTCTTTCCCGTAACTACATAGATGATGTTCAGACTGGAAGCAACCAGGTAAGAACTGTGACCTGACACCCAAAGATATGAGGACTGCTGGTGATCCTAGTATCAAGAAGAAAATGGTTATTTGCTTTTGGTTTTTGAAAATCAGATTCCTTATGCACATTTCAAATGCCATCTCCTGCTTCCATTAGTCCTAGGGGTAAATTAACATTTCTGACTTTGGTGGAAGCAGTGCCTGGCTTTTAGCTATTAAGTATGGATTATTTTGCTTGGAGCTCTGACTCCACAGGCGGAAGTCCTGGGTAGGATCATGGCCAGGAGTGGCAGCAGGCTGTCAAGTGCTTTGCTCTTCCCTGATGGCTGCTCCTTTCAGCACCAATGCCCTGGGCCGTGAGGGAGGTGTGCATGGACACTGCATTTGCTCTTGCCCTTTGCCCACCACAGAGTGCCTTGCACGCCGTCACCTGCCACGAGAAGGTCGTGGCCGTCCGGAAGGATCACAGCGAGTCCCTGGGAATGACTGTCGCAGGCGGAGCCACTAACCGGGAGTGGGATTTGCCTATCTACGTGATAAGCGTCGAACCCGGAGGAGTTATCAGCAGAGACAGCAGGATCAAAACAGGTAAAAATAGCGGGGTTTGAAAGCCTGCTTTAATTCAAAGGCTTCCTTTGAAGAACAGGGGGATGGTGAAAGAGCTTCACACTGTGCCACCCTCAGCCGTCCCACAGATTGCTGTTGGGACAGATCAGAATAGAGGGTTTCAAGTCAGCTACTGGGAAAATTGTAATAAGCAGCAGTAACTGTCTCTGTGAAATGTGATATAGGCAAATTAAAGCAGGAGCTACATTAATTTTGCACAGGAAAATGAGTTTGCACCATCATCTCCTAGGTACTGAGAGCTTCACTGTGCAGCCTTAATGTTTTCTTGATGCAATTTTTTGTGCTTTTCATATAATTTCTGACTCCAAAAGAGATCCAAAGTTAAAGCAGTAGAGTTGCCATCCCATACGAAGCCCTGCTAATGCCTTGTGAGTCAGAACTGATTCTGTACCTCTGTTTGGGTGTTGAGCTAACAGCGCAAGTGGTGGCATTAACAGCTCTTCCTCCCCCAGGAGGAAGATGACCGTGTGCTACCAGTGGGATTTGCAGGAGCTGAGGGGTGAAACGCGGCCCTCTGGGGAGGTTGTTTCCCCAAGAGCCTCAGCCTCCTGCGCAGATGAGAACGGGATGTTACAACAGAGCTGGGGGCCGGCTCCGTGGCCTCGCGTGTGCCCGGTGCACCAGGAGGCAGAGCCTGGGGACGGGAGCATCCGGAGCACGCGGCAGAGGGCAGCGGCTGCGTCCCCAGGCCGCAGCCTGGCATTAATAACGTCTTTATTGTCCTCCCCGGAGTCATTGAGGTCATCTCTGCATTCTTCTCTAGAGCTGCTGTGCACATATTATAAATACGGCACACAGAAAGGCATCTGGCTTGGGGCCATTTCAACAGGCTTTAGTGTTAAAATAATAATATGTTATTCTATAAAGCAGACTTTATGGAGTGGCAGCCCTCAGCTTGGGGAGTGCTGGGGGAAAAGCAGCTTCCAGCTCGCAGGTTCCGGGCTCGGGAACGGAAGGCGCCGGCAGGCTGGGTAGCAGCGCGCTGCGGGCGCCCGAACTCGCGTCAGGTCCCGCGGTGCCTGGAGCGGCTGGGGCGCAGGAGCCGCC